GAAACTTCAGACCAAACCAAGCCTTTATGGTAGTGAGGTATTGAAAATAAAATGGTGTTTTTAAGTGTTTTACACCCACAAAAAAAGAAACCTATCATTGTATAGGTATTTGAAGAACTTGTAGCATTCCATGACCCTAATGAGGAGTGGAATACTCAGAAACTAGTCTGTCCCACAGACACACCCCCAATGAAAGAATAGACCATTCAAAGCTTTTACTTGTTGTTAAACAAATGTTTAAAGAATTCTGTTCAACTACGCATGTACCAGCTGCCTAGTGTCAGCTAACAAAACGAAGAATTAAATTGTGGCAGAATGCTACAAATACCTATAGAATGATAGGTTTCTTTTTTGTTAGTGTAAAACACTTAAAAACTCCATTTAGGTGATTTGTTTTCCAATACTAACTATTCATTTAAGTGTCTAGTATTTAGTCTTTATCTAACAGTTGGTGTCTAGGATTTAGTCATCTTTATTTGACAGTTGATTCTAGTGTTTAATCTTCTTTCTGTACAACTCCACTTTAAGATGAAATTATGGAAACATAGATGTTATTGTGGAAATAATACAAAATTGTAAATTACAATGTAGAAATAATGCAATCATTCAATAATGATAAATTTCAAAAGCAGTACAAACACTGTGGAATGCCTTACTTTAAAATTGGTAGGGAAAGGTTGTACTGTAAGGGTAGGTTAAGATCTTTGAACTTATGTTCTCTTTAAATAAAAAAGAGTTAAGGGGGATCTGATTAAGGTGTTTAAGATTGTTAACAGAACCAACAGTATTGATGCATCATCTGTTTAGATATTTAATGGTGAAAATGGTTAATTTAAGGAAAAGCTTAATTAATATTTCAATTATAAAGGCTGGCTTTTAGCATTTAGCTTATTTTAGGGAAGAGAATTGCCTAGAAGGACCAAAAAGTCCCTTGTTGTCCTTATAATGTTATGTGATATTTATTACATTTAGAATATGGAAGAGAATCTTATAAAGATATGCTAGGTTCTAAGATTGTAAGGTTCTTTCATGTAGAGAACCTTTTTAACTTGTAAGTTTTTTTATAGATAGATAAAGGTAGTTCTTGCATTACTGGTTGTTTAATAGTTTAATAAATGCTTAAGGTCATTATAGTAGTGTGACAATTTGATGTGAATTTGTTATAGAGAACAGAGATCATAATTAATAACATAGTTTTTATTAACTTTACTTGTATTTTTACAGTTGTTAACAATTCTAAAGAACATTCTATTAGTATGATCTAATTAATTATAATGAAAGATAGATGGGGATGAATATTGTCCATTAGTAAAGTTGAAGACATGATCACCTGGTGAAGAGTCTGGTGAACTACAGTTTGAGAGATCTAACAAGAATCCCCACTATGATGAAACTTACTCTTTGGTCTTGTTAATATCAGTTATTGACTTTTATAATGTGTGACAGTACTAAGCTTCTGTAGTTAAATGTGATAGAAGGCAATTGGCTAGTTTTTTTGAGTCTTTTACACAAAATATTCAAATTTATTAAAGTCATTAATTTGTAACAAAGAAGGATAGAAACAGGTAATGGTGAATAATTTACTATATATATTACAGAAGTTAATGTGATAATTATATAGTCATTGAAGTTTAGTTTAGTTTAGTTTAGTTTAGTTTAGTTTAGTTTAGTTTAGTTTAGTTTAGTTTAGTTTAGTTTAGTTTAGTTTAGTTTAGTTTAGTTTAGTTTAGTTTAGTTTAGTTTAGTTTAGTTTAGTTTAGTTTAGTTTAGTTTACATCAAAATAAATATATTAACATTTATTTGAAACAAGAATTCTAAATAGTTAAACTGAATGATAAGTTAATACAGGTTGATGTTTAAGTGACATTCACTACAGTTGTGAATTTACAAATTATATCTTAAATTGTGGCCAGCTTTTAGTCAACAGTACAAACCTGTTCTTACAAACACAATTATACTCAGTATATTTCAGTTACCAACAATCTTGTAAGTTAGAGTGCAACTTAGTGATCTCTTGTCTATCTTACAATTTAGAACTTCCATAAATTACAAAAACTCCTCAATTTTTGGTTATTGTCTTTCTCAGTATCTGTACTGAATGTTTTTGTTCAACACTAATCATTATAAAATCACTATTTTAACATGAAATGTTCATACCAAATATCAACATGTAACATCATGTTGAATAGCACCCTGAACATGATCAGGAAGTATGCTTTCACTCTCCATATAGTTGTTTTTTTACACTTTAAAATACAAATGTTTCAGTTTGAACTCTACAATATAGCACTAACTTATCTGGTCAAGTGACTGCAACAATCATCTGGTTGTATAGTACTACATCTAATCAATGAAATATATCTTGCTACATTAGTATATTTTAAGCCAGTTCCTCCTACACAAAGAATAGCCCTGTTATTAAAACTAACCTTATATTAACCAACAACATGGTAATTAGTCTATAATATTGTTTATAAAAATTATATTCAAATAAAGTTTTTTTTATAGTATATATTTATAGCACCAAAATGTTTAATTAAACACTCAACATTTTCCTTTACAGCTTCTTCAGGAACTTTCCACTGAAACAAAAACTGTAACTGACCATAAAAAGCTTCAAAGATGTAAACCAAAACATTGAGTGTCCATTTACTTAAAGAACTTTTTATAAGATCATTTATTTTTAGTATTTAGAAAGTTACTTCTATTAAAGTAAATTTCTTATACACATATTATACAAGATCAGTTACATACATTTCAGTTGTACCCTAAAGATTAATAGGTAAATTTATTTTGTGTATATTTTCATAAACTTGTTTTGTGACTAAACTTTGTTTAATCCTTCAGGGTGAAGAGTCTCAAGTACAAGAGTATAGGCAAGAAGTGAAACTCAGTAAAGAAACCTTTGAATTGTTTTTTTTTTGTCTTCAGTACAAAAATATTTAGGTAAGCTACATGTTTGTCAATATTATTTGAGAAATAAAGCTTATACACTTGTTATTTTTAAAAACTGTGTACGAAATAAATGTTCTTTGATATCTTTTGACAAAACAATATAACAAAGGAAGACCTCACAAGTTACAAAACTAATCCCACCCTCCAACACGTACAGATTACGCAGTATAAATAAAAGCTAACTCAAGTTTCAGTGCAGAAAGGAAACAGTTATTTTAATCCGGTGAACAAAATTACACCAAAACTAGTGTTCTGTTCTACTGACCGATATAACAGTGAGTAAATTTGTCGAGACTTCCAAATAACAAAATAAATATAACTTATTCAAAGACACATTAAGTCCAAGTTCTGATTATTCACAAAACAAAAACAAACTGTATCCTGATATGAAAAACAAAATACAAACCTTTATCATCGTGTGCTAAGTAGCAGCCACAATAGTAAGGATCAGTGAAAACAAAACTTTCCCCGTGCTCCACTTATTCAAAGTATAATATATCTTAATTGTTTAAAATAGATATTTACTTTCTTCTGTTGTTACCTCCTACTTCTTGTAACTATTTGTTTATTCCCAAGATGTAGTTCTTTTAAAACTCTTCATGTACCTAACCACAACCATTATGTAAACTAATATTATCTTAATTGTTTAAAATAGATATTTACTTTCTTCTGTTGTTACCTCCTACTTCTTGTAACTATTTGTTTATTCCCAAGATGTAGTTCTTTTAAAACTCTTCATGTGCCTAACCACAACCATTATGTAAACAAACATCACGTGTTAATACACTCTTCTCCAATACTTAAGTTTCCAAGTAGACTAGTTTGTGAAAGTTACTTAACAAACAAGAGAAGCAAGAATTAAGTTAAAAATCAGAACTACAAAAAAAAAAAAATTTCAGTTAAGTTTCATGTTAACAATGTATATAGTATCCTTAATACTAAACATTCATGTGAAAACAAGAATCAAACTAGTACATTAAAAACATGTAACAGTAAATTAACATTTTGTAGTACATTTACTTCGTTCTATTACCGTTATGTCAACTAAAACCTTATTTTAAAAAAATAAGTATCACTCCCTATGTTTTCCAAGTTACACCAAGATGCTGAAGAAAATCTAACATTTCATTCAATATACAGTTTCTGGTAATGGTTAGATATAAAAACTAATCCACTCAAAACCAGTGTCTCAAATTAAAGTAACTAAGGGAAATCCATTCCTTAAAAAGAGTTTCAAACGTAGTTTATTTGAATAACAAAGCTGGAGGAATGATACCAAACAACCATCTTCTCTTGTCACTTGTTTTCACCGTACTCTGTAGAAAGTAAAAAAGTAATAATCTGTTGAAGCTTAAGTTTGTCAATACAAAACATAAGAACCATCTTACACCTTTTGATAATCTTACATAAGAAACGTACATATAACAACTCTCAACATAAGTTTATATGGTTAAAGTATAACAACTACAGCAACATTCTTCCCATTCACGTTTCTAAAACACATCGACCTCTCTCTCTCTCCCATTCATTACTTTTTATTTGAAATCTTAACAAAAACAATGTTACTGTTATATAAAATATTATTATTAAAAGTCTAAATGTTATAAAATTAATCAGTGCTAAAACAAACTTCAAAGTAATACCAGTTAAGAAGGAATGTACGTTTGAATATAACTGCTTAGGTCTCCCTCCGACATTACTACTGAACATAACATTTTGGGACAACATTGGACCTATTAGTCCATCTTAGCTGTTTCATCATCTAAACTAAAATATTAATAACTTTTAAAATTTTAAAGTCAGCCTTTATCATTTATATACTTAAAGCTTTCTATTAAATTCACATTAATCTACTGACTATATCAGAAAACCAACCATCCTGTTAAAAAACCAAAACTGTCTTAGCTGAAGATGACTCTTACCTTGCCAAAATGTATATTTGTGTCCCTAGTTCTACTATTCAGTTAAATATCAAAAAGATGATGCATCAACACTATAAATTCCCTTTGAAATCTCTCAGTTTTCTCGTGAAAAGAGAGTTCGGGAGAATCTGATCGAGGTGTTCGAGATTATAACACCTCCTCTTATGACAACCCCTCCATCTCAGGCACCATTCTAGTAACCCTTCTATGAACCCTTTCCAACAAGTCAATATACTTCCTAAGGTAAGGAGCCCAAGGCTGAACACACTATTCCAGATGTGGCCTAACCATTGACCTGTACAATAAAATTATAACCTCTTTAGACTTGTATTCAATATTTCTGTAGATAGAACTTAAAATCATATTTGCCCTACCATTAACAACAGCACACTACTTGGATGACTTTAGAGACTCAACTATTATACCAAGATCCCTTTCTTTCATGACACTGTTAAGGTTATTCCCATCCAAATTATGATTACCCACATTTATTATAATTAAAACCCATCTGCCATTTATTTGCCCAACTCACTAAATGATCCAAATCCTTTTATAAATCAGCAGCATCCTCTTCACAGCTAGCAACACCAAAGACCTTAATATCATCTGCAAATTTAATCCAGTTTGGTTGAACTCCATTTATAACAACCATCTGCTTCTTCCATCCAGACACTCTTCTTTCCAATTTGCTATCTTATCACCCACACCTGCAGATCTATTTTTTTTTTTAATTTTATTATTATTATTATTTTTTTTTATTACAAACCTTTTATGTGGCATCTTGTCAAATGCTTTCTGAAAATTCAGATATACCAAATCTACACTCCTACCCTCATCTACATAAACAGTAACCTTTTCAAAGAATGTTAAAAGATTTTTCCCTTAGTGAAACCATGTTAACTATCCAATAAAATTCTAATCTTTATTGAATTACTTTGCAAAGCAT